GAACAAGGCTTCGGGGGGGCTAGGTAGCCCAGATGAAGGCGGAGAGGCCGTCTGATCAGGAGAGATCATAGTGGGGTTGTATAGGATGATTCTGGGGCCCAGCGTGGGGCTGGTGATAGTGTTAACACCGAGATGCCATCTGCGAGGCTTGGGCTGCGGTATTAGGGGAGGTCGGAGGCGCAGAGCGCCCCCTGGCATCGGGGCACTACAATGGGCAGCCTCCTGCTTTAATTGACATCAATATATGAATCAATTATCATCAAAGGCATGGCGGGCGAGATAAGCAGGCGGTTGCCCAGAGACAGGTGGGCGGGCCACGAAGAGCTTGGCCCTGAGTAGGCCTCCTGTCATGGTGACAGGTGGGTGGGCCACAGAGTTCGGCCCCAGGAGGCCCCCTGTCACAATTTGATTTACTAGAGATGGGATGTAGGCAGATGCTTGGAGCTTTGGAAATTTCAATTTGTTTTTTTCTGACCAGGTAAATGGATGCATTGGAATAGTCGTGTTGAGGAATACGTGTATCCTGCTAACAGCACTCCAGAGTATGGCTCAATATTAGTACCAAACATCGACAATGTGAGGACCGACTTCCTTATTGAAACAGTATCTAGGCAGGGCAAGGTATCCTTTCTTTTCTTGTTTGGGTGTGAAGAATGTAATGTGCGGATGGAGAAGTTTATTATAAGTAAAGTATGGCATAATAAAAGTGAAGGCATAGTAGCAACAAATGTTGCTACTCTTATATAGACTCTTCGCTCAGTATATAGACTCTTCGCCTATATACTGTAAGACCTAACACATTTGTATTGTTTTCTGTGAGAGTGCTGTGCTTCCTTCAGCTTGATTTTTCATTTTGAGAGTTAAGTTTCTGTTTTAATTTTTGATAAGTAAGGAAGGAGAAAATTTGATGAGGCTTTGTCACATACTTGGCTCTTCAACCTCTAAGCTCATTTGAATTCTTCTCTTGTTTAGGCTGTGCTACTAATTGGTGAGCAAGGAACTGCTAAGACTGTTATCATCAAAGGATTCATGTCAAAATATAATCCTGAAAGCCACATGGCCAAGAGTCTGAACTTCTCATCTGCAACTACCCCACTAATGTTCCAGGTAGGGTTATCATTGTGGTGCTCATAACAGTTCATCAGTTTCATAGATTCTTATGTGGAGAATTTACTGGTAACATCTTTCAGGAAAATACTTTTAATAATTGGACAATACATTTATAAAAAGCAGCAAGATCATGAGCTTAGCCAGAGTGTTTAGCTACATTCACATTTTAAAATATGGATATTGTTGTGCATAAACTTTTTTTTTTAAACAGTTTGACAATCACTTTCAGCTGAACTTCAAGTGCCATATTTTTTGCAGATCTCCTGATGAGCATAACATTACTCTTGAACTATTTGGCATGATTCACTTATTTGCCACCTGCAAATGATTCTTAAAATATATTCCAGTTCTCCCTAGTTGTCTGCAGTTGTCGTTAACTTTCCATAGATCAAGATAAAAAAAAATTGTAAAGTGTTTGTTTTAGACAAATGTGGTCTGCTCTAAGAATTGTAAGCTGTTTGTCTCCCGAGTTGTGTGTTCAATCTTTCATCAGGATGATAGTGTGCACAGATGGCTATCTGTGACTAAAAGGGTTAGTATTTTACTCATGAGTCTTCTCTGTCAGGAAAAGAAGGAAAATTCAGTTCAGGTTATCTAAAATGAATTGCGTCGACTATTAGTTTTTAGATGCAGTGGGTTGAAGCTAGTTTAGCAACCTATTAGTTTACTATATTTACACAAATTTAAGATGACCCTGCAGTAATTAGGTTCTGTACATGGAAAATCTATAAATTTATTATAATTTTTCCTCCACCTATGTTCCACCCTCGCCTTTCCTTTCACAACCTCTGCCTATAAGCCACACCCTGCCAGCCTCTGATCCTCACCTTTCCCTCCTCCCCACAGCCTTGATTCCATGCTTCCCCCACCCCTTTTATTCCTGCTCTGTGCAGGCAGGCTTTGCCCCCATTCTACCTTAGGGTACTGAGCACGGTCCCTCCCAGCCCCCTTAGCAACCATGTGGGCTGGCATTGCAGATATGGGGTGGGCTGGAGTACCCCACATGAAAAAGGGGACAGAGCCTGCTGGTGTGGAGCAAGGATAAGGGAGGGATGGAAAGGGGAAGGTGGAGAAGCAGTGACTGCATGGGGTAGGGGAGATGGTGGGAGAAGAGGTGGTAGAGGGGGGAGGGCAGGCTGTGACTGCAACTGCAGCTGTGGCCTTGACCCCGACCCCACTCTGGGTAGGGGCTGCAGCCCAACCAGAGCAGCTGCCTGCCTCCCGCCCCCATAGACAGAGGGAGAAAATATTATTGCGCGGGGGGGGGGCTGAGTGCATGCATCAGCACGAAAACTACAACTCCCTTTGTGCTCTGTACAGTGTGACGCATGTGCAGTTAGCCTCTTTTTCCTCAGCCACGTGGAGCTGAGCGTGCATGAGATGCTGGCTTGGCTGCATGCTGAGCAGTGCCGTGGTGCTGCTGCCATTACCAGCCACCATAAAATTAGTTGAGTCTTCTGCAGTCTGTGCCCTCCACCCCCGATCCTCATTTGATTCTAAGATGAGGGGCTTTCCCCTTGCGTATTAAATGGGGGGGTGGGGGCCCTGACTTAAAATTGAGTAAATGCAGTACTTGAGAAACCCTTCAATGAGTCTAGTGGAAATTGGCCAAAGACAATACATATAGGCATTCTTGTATTAACCAATTCAGATAACTATAGAAGGGAAGATGCAGTGGCATGATCTTCTGTAAGGGCCTCACAAGCCTTCTGGGAAGCTCTTTGATATATGGCCTCTTATTTGCTAGCTAGTATATAGAGGTTTTATTCCACTGTGGTTTTGTAGCTATTTTAACCCAAGCTAACTACCTAAAAGTTAAAATGGATATGTCTACCTACGTATTTCTTGACTGCACAGCAGTCCACTCTCTCAAGAGTGCTCAGGCATGTCCCCATGACTGAAGACTGATTACTAGCAAATTTAATATGTAAAAATGACTGATTTTAACAGTGCCTAGAACTATTAAACTGGCCTAGAACTGTGAACTAGAACTGGCAAAATGGTGAGGAGAAGATTGACCAGGTATAAATGGAGAAGTTGAAACAGGACATAGACTAGTATTTGCATGAGGAGAGCGTAGTAACAAACTCCATGTGGTCAGTGGGAAAGAAGTCATTGAATGTAGATCCTATGGGTAGCGTGACAACAGTAATAAGCTGACTGGAAGAGACTGTACATGGACTGTAGATGGAGCTTTAATACATGGCAGCTGAAATAATGGCTGTGAAAAATTTTCTGCTAATGAAATCCTTGCTCTTTAGTTTCAAATATTTAATGATGGCACTATATGTATTAACAATCTGCAGCTCTTTGGCTTTTGATAATGTAAGCTTTACTCCTTTTTTTTTTACTTGGAGCCAGGACAATTTGGCATCATCTTTAACCACCCGCATAGAAAAAGTAATTCAGAACTACAAAATTCCCAGAATAAACCATTATATTTGTTGCAGAGAACTGATATGATTAGATCATGTAGAATTTATGAATGCCTCACTTTCTTGGCTCCTCAGAGTTGTTTTTCTCTCAGTAGAACTCACTGTAATACAAACTGTCTTGTTCATCTGACTTCCATATGTGTGCGCAATACAATGTAGTAAGAAGATAAAGTAAAATAATCATTGATCAAAACAAATGGTTTAAAATGGCAAAAGAAACATGGTCATATTTTATATGTTGCCAGTAACTGGTCTTAAAAAAAAATAGAATTTAAATTAAAAAAACAAATCTTAAATCTAAATTCTATTTATTTTATTTTTAAAAGCCTGTTCCACTACAGACCTAATTTGATACTTCATACTTTTTGGGCAGCTGAAGTAGCTCACATTTCTTAGTGCATATTTTCAGATTGGTGGGTACATAGTTATTTGAGCATGGTGCCTTTCTTTCTGTATTCTACAATTATTGACATTTCTTCAAGTACAGATCCCATTGCCAAATCTGAGTTATCAGAACCTTGCCTAAGAAAACAGTGTACTGCAAACCCTTAGTATTGAATTAAACTTCCATAAGCCAGTATCCCTACATAAACTGACTAGAAGGGATAGGGTCCATTTTAGCTTACCAAGATTTCTCTTACAGCGCACAATAGAGAGTTATGTGGACAAACGTATGGGCACAACATTTGGTCCTCCTGCTGGGAAGAAGATGACTGTCTTCATAGATGATGTCAATATGCCTGTAATTAATGAGTGGGGAGATCAGGTTTGTTACAACTGTTTAATATCTAAGTCTTTTCTTGCCTTTCTATTTTTACCAGTGAGTAAGCTAATTCCTCTTTTCAGCCAGAGAACTGAGGTGTTGTACTTTAGTTTTAATGATGGCTGAGCTCATTAAAAGGACCACCTCTATAATATACATGTTGGACAAAGAAGTAGAGCTTTAAAGTGCATTGAAGAGTAAATTTCATGAAGTCCAAACAAAGGCTTCATTTGAATATGTGGGGATGAAGCAGTTCAGAATAGGGTTGCCAATTGTTAGGCCTCTCTCTAACCTTACACCTACAGTTCCGATTTACTAATTAAATTTTTATAGTGTATACTGAGGACACTTTGATATATGGTATCTAATTCAGGAAACGGACCAATTACCAGGAAAAGTGTTCAGCAAACAGGGACCGTTTAATAGGGCTAGTCAGTCAAGTCAGTCAGGCAGGGGTTCTCATTTGGTTTGGAACAGAGAAATCTGCCTGAAAGTAATCCTATGCATGCAGATGTTCAGCTGGACAAGAGTCTTAAACTTAGTGGTACATGATGATAAAGCAGAGATGCTAACTGAAATTCAAGGTCCTATGAAAAATGATTTCAAAAATGGGGAGGGAAACTCAAAATTCTGTTAATCTAACAGAAAGGAAGATGTTGGAAGCCACCCTGAGATCAAGTGAGACTTAATCAAATGAATGGCTGGAGAGTTGAACCTCAGTATTAGGATGATGTATGTCCTCATGATCTTCCACTTGTAGATTTCCCCTGGGGGAGCTGGTAATTATGTGACTTTTTTTTTACTAACATCTTTTTTATTTGTTTAAAGCAGAAGAATATGTAGAGAATGAAACAAAAGATACATTTCTATAATTTTCCCTGGTTCTCCTGGAAAATACTTTTTTGAGAAATATTTTGTAATTACTAATGGCTGTCTGTAGGTCACCAATGAGATAGTCCGACAGCTGATGGAACAGAATGGATTCTATAACCTGGAGAAGCCTGGCGAGTTTACTAATATTGTGGATATCCAGCTCCTGGCTGCCATGATTCACCCTGGTGGAGGTCGCAATGACATCCCACAGAGACTCAAGAGACAATTCTCCATATTCAACTGTACTCTGCCTTCTAATTCCTCAATTGACAAAATCTTTGGTAAAGTGAAGACCTGTTTTGGAATATGTGGAGATAAAACAGTTCAGAAGAGGGTTGTCAATTTTTCTCTGTACTTCTAATGTTTTAACCAGAAGCTAAGTCTCTAGTCTTGCTTATTCTCTAAATTCGCTACATGAGTCTCTAAACTCAATTAACATTTTTCTAGTATACTAGCTCTCAAACATACTACCTCTGGACCTTGGTCTCTCTGTGGTTACTTCTTAGGATTGCATCAACTCACAGTATGTTTTGGGATTGCACAAGACTGGGGAAGTCGCATAAGTGCAGTGCTAGCGAATTAGTGGTGACCGATTTAATGTTGAGAGGAGATGACTTGTGCACGATGTGTGGTTCCCTGTTTGATGTATTAATGCTTCCCTCATGGTCATATTTCAGATTCAGGAAGCTTTTACAGCCCACTTCAGAACCTTTGCAAGTTTTTTTTAAATTGAGAGTTAGATGTCGAGTAGACTGTGGGCGGAGAGAGTAAAGACAAATTTAGGCTTAGCTGAATTTCAATTTGTGGTTGCTTGAGGTAAAGAAACAAGAGAAAGGAAGAGTTCAGCTGCTGCTTTCTGTTGCTTTGCTACTACAGGTCCTACAGCCTATGGGATTTAAGTGACATTCTTTTCTTTTTTTTCCCCTTTCCATTCTTTAATCAGTTGACTACTGTCTCATTCTACATCACACTTTCCCTGTAAGCTAAGGAATTTGACCATAGCATAAGAATACTGAAGAATCTTCAAACAGAAAACTTAGCTGTGTATAGCTGAAAGTTTAGAAGAATTAAATCTCTTAAAAACAAATTAATTTACTTTTCCAGTTATTTCCTAGTTGCTTTATACCTCCATTCCTTTAGGAAACTGTAAGATGCTACAATGAAGATGGGCAAATGCTTTCAACTGTTTCCATTTCTCAGTGGACATTTTGAAGTAAAATTGAGACCGGAACTAAGACTTTTTCTTTTTTAGCTACTGAACAAAAAACTCCATAGCTTTGTTTCCTGGTCATGTATGCAAAGAGAGTATTTTGTGTACACTTGCTGCATGTGCAGGTGGTATACCTGCATAAAGAAACTGTTTTGACCTTTGGAGTAAAAACTAAATATGTACAGTAAAGCTGTGTTAACTGGCACTTTTTATTAGCCGGAAAACTCTCTTAACTGGCATCCAAGTGATGCAGCAAAAGCGAGACTGGAAGTACCACTTCCAGGGGACTTCCCATTTCGCCACTGTGAGCTGAGGTTTTTATTTATTTTATTTATTTATTTATTTATTTTTTGTCGCCGCCTTTTCAGCCCAGGGCAAAGCAGCTTGCATGGGGCCTTCCTCCTTGTCCCGCAGCACACTGATAGTGCACATTTGATTAACCGGCATCCCCCATTCCCGGGGGATGCCGGATAACAGAGCTTTTACTGTAATATGAATTCTACATAGTGTTTTTCAACCTTGCAATGCACTTGAAGTGCAAAATCTTACAGCTTTGTTTTAGGTTGCAGTGCACAAGTATTTTCTAGGTAAAATAAAAGTGAAAATCATGTTTCTGTTTTTTGCATTTTCCAGGCGTAATTGGACTAGGGCATTATTGTAGTGAGCGGGGCTTCTCGGAAGATGTGAGAAGATCAGTAGCCAAACTGGTATCACTGACACGTAGGTTATGGCAAATTACCAAAATAAAAATGCTGCCCACCCCTGCCAAATTCCATTATGTCTTCAATCTCAGAGATCTGTCAAGGATTTGGCAAGGAATGCTGAATACTAGCTCAGAAGTAATCCATGACTCAAATGTAAGTAATGCATGAGGCTTGACAGTCCAAAAATATCAGTTTAGATTAATTTCAGTGTACAGTAAGAAGGGTCTCATTGTGTAATCTATTATCACTTATTCTATATTTAGTTCGGAAGATTCTGATGATATTTCTTCATCCTGTGTTGGAAAATCACCACATAAAATGGGGTACTTGATCCTTAACTGGGTATATAAAGTAGATACCTTCATGCAATTAAAAAAAAAAAAAACAAACAGAAAACACAAACACTTGGATGAAACCATACCAGTGATACTGATAATTAATACTTACAATGTTTTATAGATTTCATAGACTAATTTGTAGTTAAACTCTGCATTAGTTTTACCGTTTATTATGCTCACTAAAATATTAACTTAACATTTTTAAAAGCTTAAAAAATTTCAGTTTTATAAACAATATTCTGCTATATTTTACTACATGACATGATTTTTCTGAAGATCTGTATGTTGAGGTTTTTAAGCAATGGCAGTACCTGATTCCTGGGTTTGAGGTTTTAAATGGGAGAGAGAATAGTCCTCAGACTAAAACCAGTTTCTGTACTTAACATGAATAATTCATGTTGTGAAATCAAGTATTTGAAATAATCCTTTGCTCTTAATTTTAGTTTTTCTTTGAAAAGTTAATTTTGTTGAATTCTTAATTTTGAAACATGAACTCTGATCTTGTAATGTCCCTCTTTTTTTGTAACCATTATTGGTGTAGACTTACAGGTTCATTAAATGAGGTTTAGTGGGCTTCATTATTGAATTGCTTTATACTGAGCCTACCTGCTTGACAGCTAAGTAGCTTCATTCTTTTACTGTATCTACAAGTTCAAATGTTTGGATATCCTTTTAATCTCTTTGTGTTGGGAACTGGACTAACTAATTAAAGATATCCCTTGTTCATAACTGATAACTCAATTACAGCAGTTTGTCCAAAAATCAGAGCGAACAGAAGACAATCTACTACTCTTTCTGTAGAACCAGTTCTGAGGATCATGTCTTAATTGTTGCTTAAATGAAATGATTTGGGGCACAGAAAAATGTTTATAGATTTCTTAGAATATTATATACTTTTTTCTGTGAGGTTAAATACACAACTTCTATAGCTGAAGGGTTTCAAGTTCCAAAGAACAATACAGACTACTTAATGTCTCAATTGGGATTTAAAAAGTACCCCTTTTAATTGAATGCATGGAAAATGGATGCTTTGTCATTACAAAAAATAAGTGTTTTTTATTAGGATTTACTCTTTTAATTATTGTAAACTTCCATTGGAGCAAGTGTATAGTTCAGATGGTCAGACAAGCTTTCATACTTCATCAGGTCTGGACCATGACAACTATATCAGTCTTACACTACAATTACTGTAAAGCACATTCAGTGACTTTTTGTAAACTGGTTGATGCTTTTTGGCTATATGATATGGTTTTATTCTCTTACATCACCAACTTTGACTCTTGATAACATTATCTAAAATTATCTCAAACTATGGATGCTTTCAAAAAAATTGCAAAGGAAGTAAATCATTTACCAAAGTAACTCTTTAGTGTGGATGCTAGATTGAGGCTTCTTTGGAATTTTGTCTTAAATATATAATGCACTCCTATATACTAGGCACAAACTTAAGTAGAGATTCAGCTGAATCAGAAGTCTGAAAAAGGGTACAACTTCAGTTTGCCTACATAAGAGCAAAGCATTACTGCAGTTAGTTTGGAGATCATATGATGTTAAAAAAAAAAAAATACTGAGAACTCAATTTTGTCTCCTAACTTGTATAATAAATATCTGACTGAGACGTTGAATTTCTCTAAAGGTGTTGATAAAGTTGTGGAAGCATGAATGTAAGCATGTTATTGCTGATCGTTTCACAACGCTAGAGGATGTAAAATGGTTTGATACGTCTTTGGCAAAACTGGTTGAGGAGGAATTTGGTGAAGAAAAAAAAGCATTGGTGGATTCAGGAGCTGATGCTTACTTTGTTGACTTCCTAAGAGATGGGCCAGAAGTAACAGGTAAATACAGTTCTCTGATAATGTTGTCCTGTGGTGTCAGGCCAACTCTCAGGATCTCAATATTGCACTGTTAGACAGGAGAGTATGACACAATTGCACATATACAAACACACAAATCAGTTAGGGGTACACCCCCCCCCCCAAACCAGCCTAGGCACATGCATACCTATAACCCATTCAAGTGCACGCACACTACATACACCAAAAATGAGACCACAATCAGTTTTCAATACCTACACATGCCATACACATACACGGATCACTAATTCATATATCACACATGTTAGACCACAACTCCATGTGGCATCCAACGCCTAGGGAGATGATGGTCCAATTGCTCATGGTTCCTGGTACTCATTAGCCAGAGCAGACGGGGAGCAAACACTAGCACACATTGCTCGCAACAGCTTTATTCAGAATGGAGACGGCTTTGGACTAGTTCCTAAAAACAAAAAAAACCAAAAACAAAACAAAAACCCCAAACAAAACAACAAACCAGGGAGCCACCCTGAACAACAGTTCTTTCCAACATTTATACACCTTCGTTCATACATATTAACATTTATTCCACCCTCGTCCTACCTCAAGCTCCACCTCTGTTTAATTCCTTAGCATAGTATTGCCTATGCATTTCATTCATTTACATGCCTCTGCTAAGAGTGCATGTGTAAGACTTTGACCCCCATCTTCGTTCGGTCACTTGTGGTTTCTCGCTGTTTTTTTCTGGTTTTCTTGCTGACTTTAGCACCATCTCCAAGGCCATATTTCTGCTTTTGTCTTCTGACACTAGTTGGTGGGCTATTCTATTTTTACTCAACACATCATGCACTTTGTACCCTACCCCCTGTTAAGAATCCGCTCACTTAAAAGCAAATAGCTTAGCTAATGCTTAAAATATATATATATATATATGTATTATCCATCCTTGTGACCAGCTGCTTCTGCTAAAATGCAGAAAAAAACCCTTTTATTCAGTTGCGCGCACAGCACTCCCCAGATTCCAATTTGTTACCCCAAAATCCATATCATTACCCTAACAACACACACATGATGAGATTGGATGGATAGATATTCACCAGTTCACACACATACCACCCACCTACACATACACACAGGTGAGTTCCTAACTTGGATGGTATGGTATGTGTGCTTGGGATACCTGGGGGAAGGTTAAGGTGAGAGAGTGTAAGGAGTGAAAGTTGCTGGGACTGGGATTAGAACCAGTAGGCTAGAGAGAAGCTGGGCTGAGGAACTGAGGCTTGGGGTTACTTAAGGTCAAATGGCCCCAGGGTTACTCGGTCACTAGTGCAGGGGGGGGGGGGGGGGGGGAAAGCCTGGTGGCAAGGAGGAGACAGCCAAGAGAGAGAGGCAGACGGCTGGGAGCTTGGGGGCAGATAAGTGGTGGCAAGGAGGAAATGGTCAGGAAACAGACAAAAACCCAACTTGGGGTTTCAAAATAACAGGTTTATTAAACAGACAACACACTACACAGCCCCATGAACTTACTGGTGCACACATGCACAATGGCAGCAGGAGAAAGACTCAGTGGAAGGGTTGGAGTCCAGGTAGGGAAGAGAAGCAGAGTCCAAATCCTTGGTTAAAGAGAGGGTGGGGGTGAAAGCTACCTATCCAGGTTGGAAAGGGGTCTTTGTCCAGCAAGTGTTGTCCAGAGGGGATGGCTGGCAGGGCCTCCAGGGGGATAGGTGATCTGGCATGGTGGTGGTCCAGATGGAGAGGATATCCCAAGGAGTCAGTCTTCACTACTCCTTTTTATGGGGCAGACTACTATTGATCTCCTATGGGGAGGGCCTGTCCAGGCAATGTCAGTCCTGTTCCAGGTGTTCCTACTGAGCATGTGCAGCCTTGGCACAATGGTGGGTTGCCTCATCTTTTGTTTCTTCAATGCTGAAGGTAGTTCCAAGGGCTAGGTCATTGGTCCAGGTATTGGTTTTGATGGTTTGGTCATTCAGAGGGAGCTATTTTTAGACCTACTGCCATTGTCTCTCAAGCACCCTCCATTCATCCCCATTCATTCAGGAACCAAGTTACATAGGACGGGTAGGTATGAGTCATAGGCTACAACATACTTACGCAACAGGGCAAGGGGACAAGATGGAGACTTGACAAACAAAATGGATACTTGACATGACTTACAATTTAGGCCTACATATGTAAGTTAGCATATTGTATCAGTAAAACGGTAATATAGAACAGTAAAAATCAATATAAACATAATAATTATACAATATAAAGAAGGAGAAAACACAAATACAACTTGCTACCAAAATTAAAATGCTGAAGCTTATCCTATGTCTTAGCTCACTTATACTTATCTATAGGGAATAGAGAGGGAGAGAAAAAGTCAGAAATGGTTGGAGAAGGGGAGGGAATGTATTAAAGAATTAAAAAAAAACAACAAAAAACTGGGGGTTTTGCTACAATAAATAAGCACAGAAGTTGGTGGTAGGGAGATGTTTAATACAGGATAGTGTAGAGAGGTTTTCAGAATGTGCAATATGGTTTCTCTTTGAAGTCGGCTCTCTTGACTGGAGTGTAGCAAATGTAGGCTGTCAATCTGGGGTCCCTCTTATTGCCAGCTTGAGATTCAGTGGAGAAAGGACTGCATCCAAATGTGTCCGAAAGGACAGAAATAGAAAGCAGGCTGATTTGGATGCAGTCTCCTTTGTACTGCTCTTGTAAATGTGAAGTGGAGCTGTCTAAAAGGATGTGTGGTATAAGATACCACAGATAGTTACATAAATATGCATTGGAGTTTATTGCACTTACTAAAAATATATCTTTGGTGAATCCTAAATTACCAGGCAGATAATGTTTTCCTGCAACCATTGTATGTGGCATCAGTCTCATCTCATTTAGTAGTAGCTCTTATTAAATTAGCTTGTAATTTGTGGCGTCCTGCATCTGCATTGTAGTTTTGAGGGAAAATTTATAGTTTACAGCAGGGCTGTGCAACTCCCTACCCCTCACAGCACTGAACACATTACTCCCTGCTGCACTGAGCATGCAGGTTCTCCTTACCCTATGTTGCACTGAGCCTGGGGATGCTCCCCACTGCATCAAACATGTGTCCTGCAGTACCAGGTATGTGGTTACTTCCCTCCCCCTTCAGCTTCTTGAGCATAGACTTTGCTGCACCATGCTGTACTCATATCCCAAGCCATGGGCTTTCCTGGCACAAGTTATGCCATGCTGCTCAACTCTGCCTGTGAACAGGGCAAAAAGCAAAAGCCTGGGAGAGGCTGGAGCACCCAGTTGCTGCTGATGCAGCTGGGTGGCAGCCTAGGGGCTGCAAGGTAATCCCTTATAGGCCTCATGTGGTCTGCAGGCTGCCAGTTAAACAGCTCTGGCCAATAGCTTTATGGGGTAGCAGCATCTGTTATTTTTCTGAACAGCAGTTTTTTGGCTTCATTTTGTTTTTTGCATTCAGAAAGAAAAATGTGGGCAATAAAACCATATTACTTGGGACCTCCTCTATAAGGCTAATGGGTTGCTTTAAAACATAGTTGAAGATGTTCCAAAATTTTAGGACAAGCCAAACCACAGGCCACAGCAGGGGGCAGGAATTGGAGATTGGGTTCAAGGGGAAATCTCGGGGTGGGTCAGAGTCCCAAGCTGAGTTGACATTCAGCAATCAGAGACTGAATTACTAGATCTGAGGGAAAATCCAAAAGCTGGAAACAAGGAACAGAGCCAAACTGGTCAGGAACTAGGAAACTGGTACAAGGTCATAGAGGCTTGCCAGGGAAGACTGTCAGCAGAAACTGTTGGCCAGCCTAGAGTCTGTTGCTACAGCTGTAGCTAAACAGAGAAGCTGCTCTCCCAGCAGCCCATCAGCAGACCCAGCTGGAGTCATTAGCTGGGTGAGGGCTGCCTGTAAAAGCCCCAGGCAGGTGTGGCCCACTATGCAGGTAGTCCCATCTGGGTTGCCTATTAGGGCCCCTGATAGCCAGATCCCATGAGTGGGGTCGGGCTGTGGCTGGACCCAGCATAGGCTCAGTGCGTGGAGTTGACTTATGGGTATGATCTGGTGCACCCTCCTGGCCCTGTGCACTGGATCTGGCCATAATGTGACAACATGCACTGGCCAGGTCACCCATGCCAGATTTGGCTGTCTGAAACCTGCTTGTTTGTGCGAGCTGGTTCATGTTGCCATGCTATCTGGCCTGTATGGCTCCCTATGGTGCCAGAAATTTGATGGCAATTAGTGCTGCTACTGCTCCTCTGTTGCCAAATTTCTGGTTCCCCCTGGGCAGCCACATAGACTGCATGACATAGCTGCATGGGTTGTATTTTGGTTTGTAGGCCAGAGTTTGAGCATCACTAACCTAGACTGTTTGAATTGATCTGGCTTCAAACAAAGTGGATGTCAGTTTATTGTCCTCACTCTCATAACTGATGGCTACATGAATGGTGACAGGTTAGAATGAGTTTCCAGCTACTTCCTGAACTTACTGTGGGATAGAGGAAAGAATCAAATGTATATGTGGGATGAGAGTGATAAAAGGAAGAAATGGGCTTACAGATGGTATGACAGGAAATGATATGCTCTTGCCTTTGGGATGAAGATGGACAGATAAGCTCTTGAGGTCCCTTCCAGCCCTATTTTTCCCATGGTTCTCTAAAAGCAAAATAGAAACAGGCTGTGACACACAAGACCGCTGTAAACATGTGCTTAAATGATTGAGTGAACTGGGGCACTGAGGTGAAAGCTAGAAAGACAACTGAAAGATTAACTGAGGGAGAGAGAAGACCTTTCAGGAACAAAATGCTTTTATCCTGATAACAGAAGCATGCAAGACAGTAGCTTGCACATTAGTCATAACTTTCAGCTATGCTCTTGTCACTTCCTGGGTTGCAATTAATTGGATACTAAAAGAGATGGATACCCTGTGAATTCTGTCCATGTAGGATGGATTTTCATGTATGGAGCCTTGCATGCAAGCTGTAAATGCACAGAAAACAGAAGCAGCTACATTTTGGTATCATGTATCTACCTGGTCATTTATTTTTCTGTGCATCTGTGCCCTTTCCAAAAAATGTGATCTTGGTGATTGGTCTTCGCTGAAATAGGAAGTTTGGTCCCAGCTCTACTTGCAGTGTCATCATAAATCTCTTTATTCTTCTTACTTAACTCTGACTGTTCCCATATGGTATGGATGACCTTATTCTCAAATTGCTTTGCCTATCCTACTAGAGTTTTAGAAATAAGGATGATGATTAGCCATTTCTGATTTATGTTGAAGAGTGAGAGCAAGAACAGGAATTTTTACATTTGGATTTTTTTTTTTTGAGTGATCCAACTTGAGAATTCTTAAGTCGGAAATAATGACAAAATTGCTAGTTACTTCAGTCTCTTCATATTGTAATTTCAATGATATTTGTCCCTGCTACCAGGTGCATGAGACAGAATAGCTTCCACATTAACTTAGAAAAAGGCATAGCCGACAGACATTCGACAGCGATTGGCACTGTAATGCCCTATTTACTTGGATACTAAGAGATGGAAAACTACAGAGTTTTACCTACCTTGAGTTTGTTTTTCATTCTCCAATAACTTTAGAGACCAGAGCAGCCAAATGGGTACAAATAGGGACAATATCCTTGGTTGGTTGTAAAATGAAGTTCTGCATTAGTTACCTGTCCAAGTACTTGAGGTATTCTGTTGTCATCGTGAATTCAGGATGTTGAATCAGTGTCTTTAAAAATCAGAGTAAAGCTCATGCTGTCATCAGTAGGATTAAGCAATTAACTGCATCGTTTGTGAAATAATGAAACCCTCTGAAAACATTCAATGGTTGTGGAACACTGCCTTTGAAAACTACCTTTTACAGTTGTGGTAATCCCAGCTGAGTAACATTATAATGAGTCAAAGCAAAATACTTGAAGGTAACCCAAGCATGCACAGAGACCCTGAGGGGAGAAACTGCTCATGCTTAATGAGGAATTTCTTTTTAATTTTAAATTAGGTCAGGAGAACTTGTCCCATAAAGGTAAGGTTATTGTGTGTGCAAAACAGAATGGATCAAAAAAGTATTTGCTGAGTATGGCTAATGTCATGTACAGAGAATAAATCTTCAGCTTAAGTGCAGGGCTGTTGGGTTCAGCATACTGGTATGACTTTCAGTTTGAGGGGTAACACTAGAATTAAGCATTTATATACTGTTGTGTAACAGTATAAAAACTATTAGTGAGAGCTTATTAAACATGTCTTATTTATAGAAACATGGTCTATAATGATGTGCAGACATTTGAAAAGCAACAAACTTTAGAAGTGGTGCTCAGAGTACAGTGTCTTGGAGCATGTGTTCTGTGTAGAGAAGAGAAAAAGATTAATATTTGGAAAGCTACTCTAAATATGGCTTTGTCTTAATATCTTACTAATAGTTTCATACGAGTAAATTTTAAATGCTTATTTCAACCCTAAGACTATTAATCAGTGTTCCCTAGCATTTTGCATGTTAAGATGAAACATCATTTAATTTTAACTTTGAGTGTTACAAGTGAATTTGTGCATTTGCAAATACACTACTGAGGAGTTTTGAATTAATGATGTTCTCAAAACTTCCACTTCAATGAGGAGAATTTAAACATGAGGTAAAGGCAAGATAAGGTATGTGAATCAGAATTGCTTTTCATTTACTTAACTTCACATCCAAAACTAAAATCTTTCTATTTCCTTGATGGTGTGTGTATCTTGGCAAGTATGTAATTATGATATAAGCCAGGGCATGTGTGGATTGTGGTATTCAAAATGAGATATAGATGTGATAGACAGAGGTAAGCAAACAAATGTACTTAAGCTATTTCTGCTGTCAGATTTCCTGTTAAACATAGACCTCAGATCATGGATTCTGCTTCCCTGCCTCCAACTCCCAATAAACTGAGTTTTGTGAAATTATTTAAGTTTTCAAAATTTATACACCTCTGCACTAATGGAGTTCATAAAAATATTTAAAAAAAATCTAGCTAGTAAAGAATCTCCAATAAATAGAATCATGTCCCCTTTTGACACAGAGATAATTGATAGTTATAAGGAATCAAGCAGTGAACAATATTACCTTCCTGAGGCATGTAGATAAAATGTTGGAACTGCAGGATTTATGTGAATGTTAATCAGAATAGAATTAAGTTGCGTGGTGGTATTTGGTGGAGGAAAATGTACTGTTCACCTTTTTACACAGCACAGATGGTATTTTGTCTATTATTTAAATTAACTAATGAATAATTAATTAGAAGAAATTAATAAATGCATAGAAACTTCAATGTGGTAGTAATCTGATGTTCAGATGCTGAGTATGCATTTTACAGCCATATAAAGCAGCTAATTCTATTTGTAGCCACTACCATAAAGAAATATAACTTAAGTTGTAGAAGTTGCCTCAAGTTTGATATCACCAGTAATTTACTAAAGGTTTAGGGCAGATAAGTTTCTTATCTTTTATTTTATTATACTTACCCTTTCTAGAGTTGAATTTGTCTTGGATAAACCAAATAGATGCCATGGTAGTTTTCAGGGGACAATCTGTTAATGTAAAACAAAGGCCACAGCAGTTTTTATGTAATATATCCTTTTGAATTACCAGTACATTCATGTTGCCCATAACAGAAAGGTTCAAACTTATTTTCCCTTTTTCCCCCCTCCCCCCCGTCCAAAGAACGCTACAGTTCAAAAGTGTATGGCATACAATAGTTTAAATAAGATTCCAATCCTGATTTTAATTTAGAATGATATAAACTTTTGCTATTAATTTAGAAAAAGTGTACAATCGGATCTGAAATATTGAACTGCTCCCTTTGGATAGTATATGGAAAGGAGGGTCTTTGCAGAGAGAAAAGCCAGCCATCCACTGTTAATTTAGTTGCTGACTTTTTTTTTTTCTCACCACAGGTGAAGAGCCAGAAGAAACTAACTTTATGCCGAAAGTCTATGAGCCAATTGAATCATTAAATCACCTAAAGGATCGTTTAAATACCTTGCTACAAATATACAACGAAAGCATCCGTGGTGCAAGCATGGACATGGTATTTTTTGAAGATGCTATGATCCATTTAGTTAAGGTAAGACAAACATTCTCTTCTATTGCAAACAAACTTTAGTCCTTGCTTCTAGCCAAGAAAACAGAACTATATGATGCCAACTAAAGGTTTAGTTAATGATACCTCTCAACTTTTTATCTTTTTAAACAATTGCAGAAAAGATTATTGGGCTCATAGTCCTTACTTTCTCAAATGACTGAAAAGAACTGAGTTGGTTATACAGGGAGGAACAGGCAGTTTTGAAGACTGCAGCTGACATGGATTCATATGTCCAATAGCATAACTAGGATGAGGTGACCAGAGCAACAGCCCTGCATGCTGATTTGGGAGGTGGGAGTGCAGAAAAATAGCAGCAGCTGCAGACACAACTTCCAGCTGCCACTGGTGTAATTGTGTCTTTTGTATCTTGATACTCTGGGTTCCTAGCTGCTTTGTTACATCTCTGCTAATGTCTACCTCTGATTCATAGTAATGGTCTGCTTGGACCCTGTTTTGTCATATCTTCCGACATGAAGCTGGGTATTCTGCTGCTGCTGCATGGTCTGGCTAGGGCCAGAGCTTCCCTGTGCTCCGTGCCCTGACTGGAATGGGGCTGGAGCCATGTCAGATGGTAAGCAGCAGGGGGGCAGGTGGGTGAGGGAAAGGTAGTAGAGGCAGATGAAGTGTGTGTAACATGGCTGCTGCCACTTTGGTTCTGAAACTTGGTTTAGGGCTGGAGTTGGAGCCACAGCAACTGCTTTCCTCCTCCTCGACCATGCACTCAGATCCAAGATGAGCCCTCCCCGTGTTGAATGGGGGGGAAAACCTCATCTTGGATTTGAGTAAATATGGTAATATTACTCTTGAAACACATACAGTAGTACAAATGTAACAATTGCTTTCTTGTGAGTGAAATTTGCAACCTAAAAAGAGGTAATGTTGCCTCTTAAACCTAATTTGCAAAATGGGGCACCCAGTCCAAGTTACCTGAGACAGAGCAAATTGACAAAGTTAGTGATACCAGCAAGCTGTTAAGGACATTTCAGTGTGTAAGTAATTGATCATTCTTACTTTTTTTTTTTTAATAGGGTACTATTTCTAGTCTGATTTTGTTATAAGTTAAGCATCTAGCTAGTGATCCTAATTTTGACTTTCTGATATATTTAAGGAATACCTACGATCAGAAATGTCTTCCCTCTTTGGGTGCTAGGATTTGATAAGTGTAGTTCTTCCTCCTTGGATAAGCAAAATAAATAGAGCAGATTCAGTTTGCAGACCTTAGTTAGTTAATGCAGCTTTTCAGTTAATCTATTCACTTTCTTCTGTATTGTCTCTTGAAGTGTTGACACCAGAACTAGGTGCAAGATTTAAATAATGATCTCTTGCCAATGTCATGGATCATCCCCAGCTCAAAGTTATTATTTAACTCAGTGATATAACTGGGGAACTTCCCTGGGCACTAATTTGGGTGCAGAGACAGAGAAAAATGACTGGTGCCAGTTACCACTTCACTATGCCCCAAATGCCTGGCCACATTACTACACTGATTTTCCTGCTTATGCATCATAAGCATACTTCTGTATTTGTCCTTTTAGTTGCACTGAAACATTGTTCACCAGCTGGATTCCAGAATCACGGCCAAATTTGTGAAGGAGATCTACAAATGCCATCTCTTCTCTCTTTGAAGATTAATTTATTGCCTACTTCATTGTTTTTCTTTCTCTTTCTTCGTAGAATCATTTAATGGGTGCAGATAATGCTGGTAGGGCATTGTCTCCTTTTAGGTCCACTATGTTTCCTCGTCATTACTTAGGAAAGCTGACTTAAGTCCCTGATTGCCCAGCCACTGATGTTGAAACTAGGAAAAAAAACTTGGGATAAAAGCTTGAATCCATCAGCAACAATACAGGTAGTAGAGAGGCCCATAACACCTTGCTTTTTAGAATAAATCTGGTATTCCTCTGCTGGTCATCACTGCTGTAACATGTTAGTTGAAGGACATAGTTCACACTTAGAATGGAAGCATTTGAATTGGTGTGCTTTCCTTCATTGAATGTTAGGACACAATACACGATCACCTTGACCTGTAGATAAAACAGAATCAAGTAATGATTAAACATTTACACAATCCTGTGGTGCAGGTAGCCTATTCAAGTTGTCATCAGGTCCATGGTTGTGTTGCCTCTTGAAGGCATTGCTCTATGGTTCTGACTTCCAGGGGATCCCACAATATTTCCAGTTACTCCCCTCCAGCTTTTGTGTGTGTATGATCCATACATACGTTGCATCTTTCAGAGCTCTCACTTAGGAACCCATTAGGACCTTTTCTGTTATGCAGATTATCTAATTACTGTTCCAGTGTCTTTATTTCTTAAATACTTCCTGGGACCAGACTGATTGGGTCACAAAAGCAATGCCACATTGTATTGGCCTTAACACCAGTATTCACTTTGAACACCCAAAACATTATTGGAGTACCGTTCACCCTTGCATAACTACATTTTTAAAGTAACTGTAAGCATTTGAACACTTGGTCTACATAAGCATCAGTACTTTTTAGGACACATTTTACAGGACACTTAATTGTTAGTTATCCAGTAGGTGAGAAGTGGGTGCAACCAGGGGATTCATATTGGGAAATTTCCCATTTGACCATAAGCAAATAGAACAAACTCACCTCTACAATGGGTGTTGCTCTGCACAGCCTTCCAGATATACACAGGCCCTTTCTGCTGATGACCATGATATGGTCTGAGGCCTGTCCATTTAGTTAGAATTCAAACCTGGTCGCTAGATGCCAGCCTAGAACTGAGTAAAGATATGAGGAATAGGAATTGATTACTCCTTTACTTAAAATAAATGATCAGCTATTGCATTGGGAAGGACAGAAATCTTGTTCTAGTCTGAATGTGTCAAATCATTATAAAACAGTTTTTAGTACTATTGCCCTGTGGGGTCAGGCCAACTCTCAGGATCTCAATATTGTGCTGTTAGACAGGAGGGCATGGTGCACCCACTTAAAAATCAGTTAGACACACTCACACTAGGTGCATGCACCCCCACCAGGCGCGCACATGCCTCAGATGCGCACAACCAACTCAGGCACATATACGTCCAAAATTACCAGCCTAGGCATATGCAGACCTATCACCAATTCAAGCACCTACACACATTACAGATCAAAACAAAATAGTCCAGAATCAATTACCAATACCTGCACACCCAATACACACACATGGATCACTAATTCGTATATCATACACACAGTGGCATATATGTTCACAGTTCACATACATACCACTTGCCTACACATACACACAGGTGAATTCCTAACTTGGATGTTGTGGTATGTATGTATTTGCTTGGTGTACTTGGTATAGCTGGGGAAGGTTAAGGTAAGAGAGGATGAAAGTGTAGGGGGTGAAAGTTGCCGGGACTGGGACTAGAACTGATAGACTAGAGAGAGAACTGGGCTGAGGAGCTGAGGCTTGGGGTTACTTTAGGTTACTGCTGGTGGAGACTGAAATGAAAGTTGCCAGTGCTGGGATTAGAACTGGCAGGACTGGAGGGAAGTTGGGGTAACATAAGGTTAATTGAAAGCAGAAAGCAACAGGGCTACAGCCTGCAGAAGGGGAATAGAGAGGAGGCAAAAAGTAGCAGAAACAGGGCTGAGCGCCTGCAAAAAGCAACAGGGATGAGAGCTTGCAGAAAAGGGACAGAGAGGAGGCAAAAAGTGGCGGGAACAGGACTGAGAGCCGAGAGAAGAGAGACAGAGATCAGAATTTAAGTTGGGGAGGGGACCGGGGCTCAGTAAAACGCAACCCAACTCGGGGTTACAAATGATAGTGGTTTTATTGAAAAGGGGAGATGATGACACTATTTTATTGGTTCTTTTGCATGCATGCGCGCACAGAGGCACCAGGGATTAAAGAGGCTTGGTGCAGGGGTTGAAGTCTGGGAGTAGAGAGTCCAAATTGGAGGAGGAAATATGCAGGTAATATCTACCTATACCAGGCTGAAAGTGGGTCCTCGATGGCCAGTTGGGGGCTCCTTCAGCTCAGTGTTGTCCAGAGGGGGTTGCAAGTAGGGCCTCTGGGGTGAATAGGTGGTGTGACGTGGAACTGCTCTGGTCCAGATGGAAATGGCGTTCCCAAGGAATCAGTCTTCACTACCCCTTTTTATGGGGCAGACTGCCTCTGATCTCCTATGGGGAGGGCCTGTCCAGGCAATGTCAGTCCTGTTCCAGAGGGTTCCAGGTGTTCTTACTGAGCATGTGCAGCCTTGGCACAATGGTGGGTTGCCTCATCTTTTGTTTCTTGAATGCTGAGGGTGGTTCCAAGGGCTGGGTTGTTGGTCCAGGTATTGGTTTTGATGGTTTGGTCATTCAGAGGGAGCTATTTTTAGACCTACTGCCATTGTCTCAAGCACCTGCATTTATCCCCATTCATTCAGGAACCAAGTTGCATAGGAGAGGTAGGTGTGTCATAGGTTACACAACCAGGCATGGGGATAAGATGGAGGCTTGACATTACAAGATGGAAACTTGACATGACTTATGCTAACTTACATATATAGGCCTAAAACAGTAATCGCAGAATATAAAGGCAGTAAAATAAATCAATGCAAACACAAAATTTACTACCTAAAATAAAATGTTAAAGCTTATCCTACATCTTAGCTTACTTATACTTAGGGAATAGAGAGGGAGAGAAAAAGTCAGAAATGATTGGGGAAGGGGAGGGGAATGCATTTTAAAAGGAAAAAAGAAAAATTGGGTGTTTTGCTACAGTACCGTGCTCTGTCTATCCAACCCTCGGGACCATTGTGCTGTAGTGCTCCACATTTTGATGTTTCTGTGAAACATTTTGTATATAGAACACTGAGCTTACAATGTAGTTTTGAAGGAAATACCTAGTGTTACATAGGCTAGAAAAATACATTGCCTTCGTCTTTTGAATAAGTTGCATCTGTGTTTGTCCCAGAACAGAACTATCCCAGGGTTGGCTGCTTCTAATCAGGTTTTAGTAAGCAACTGAAAGCACTACTGCTTTTCCACCACTGATTCAATTAAGAAATCCCAAGTTAACTATTCAGATGCACTTTGGAAAGTCTTGGGATAAACTGTTAGTACTTCTTATCCCATGAAGGTTTTGAGGATTATCTTGGAGCAAGACTGATTTTTCTTGATTTTTTTTTTTTTTTTTTTTGATTCAAATATCAAAAAAATATTTGAATGATTGCGCTTTTGTCCTGGGATAAAATGATTACTGTTGGATAAATGCATTTTCTTGTAGTCATAGGTAGACTGACATAGAAAGTACAATAAGGTTTCTTGCATCCTATTTACTATAACATTAACTCCCTTCTGTGTTGATATTGAGACATTTTGTACAAGTCATCTTACCTGGTAAATCCTATGACTTCATGTGAATTAGTTTTGCTTTTTGGAAGCATGAAATCAAAATCAAGCTATTTGTTGTACAACAAGCAGTAATAGTGCAACATAATATACATAACATTAATAGAAAATCCCTAAAAATACTTTGAAGTGGCAACACCATTGCGTTGAGTTCTATTAAAAAAGAAGCTGTTCTTAATGTACCACACTCATGTTTGTGTGTTTTTTTTTTTTTTTTTAAATGTCATCAGGATTTATTAAAATAAAAATACTGTAGAATTCTGTAATTAATGTTTGGGATTGCACCAAAACTATGATATTCTAAGAAGTTTTTATGGCCAGCAAAGCTTAAATTGTTTAGACACTTGGATTCCACATATTAAGCAACAAGTGTCCATGCTACCCTGCAGATTTCACGTGTGATTCGTACCCCTCATGGAAACGCGCTGTTGGTTGGAGTTGGTGGTTCTGGAAAGCAGAGCTTGACAAGGCTGGCATCATTCATAGCAGGCTATGAAACCTTCCAGATCACTTTAACAAGGTAGGTGTTGGTCCAATGGTATTTTTAAAAAAAATGGTACTATGATTTATTTGGGTTTTCTTACAAGCAGAACATAAACCCTTATCTTGCTTTCTAAAAAGCCTTATTAAAATATTTACAATGACCACCCTTCGAACACTCTCCCTGCATCAACAGCTTCATAAGCTTGTTAAGTTGTGTTAGTATAACCTTCATAGAAGGAAGAAGAAAGATATAGTTTAAGAATGCTGCTATTGGCTCAAGGGTTATAACATTTACATTCATTGCTATGAAAATAGTATGTAGAATTAGGAGAAGGAAGAAAAACGGTTTCTCAGTTTATTTTACTTTGTGCATTTTGAGCAATTTTTTTTCTAGGTTAGCTCCCCTGCTTATGTGGGTATTACTTTATAATAATTATGTAAGGTTGAAAGGTACCCCGTGAGGCCTTCTAGTCCATGCCCCTCTTGTGTGGTAGGATCAAGCATACCTGGGCCATCCTTGACAGATAACTTAATCCTTCAGTGAAGGAACCACCCACTGCCATCCTCAGTTTGTTTTAAGATTTTACTCCTCTTACAATTATGATTTCTCTAATACCCGATCTAGATCATGTCTGCTGAAAATTAGGTTGCTTTCTTCTTGTCCTTCTCTGGATATGGTGAAAAATTCACCACCTTACTTTTGATGTATAACATTTTTATTTTTTTAAACAAACTGGAATGGTGGAGTCAAGATTTTTTTTCTAGCTTGATTCCTTGAACCATTCCCTCTACTTACAATTTCCAAACCACATATCCTTGTAGTTCTACTTTGGCTTCTCTCCAGTTTGTTTAAATCTTTCTTAAAGTGTAGTGGCCAAAAGTACTCCAGTTAAGGCCTCACCAGCATAGAATAGAGCAGGGGGCTTAACGTAAGACACTTGACAGAATGAGAGATGCCTTTTTTCATAACACCACAGTGACTGGCATGCAGAATGTAATTTAGGCTCCCTGTACACGGTACAGACATTGTGCAATTAGCCACTTAATTGCACAGTTACCTGGAAACCAGCTACCCTGCAAAGTAGTTATCACACAATAAAAAGTTCCAAGCAGGTATAAAGTCAAACCTTGAAGATGTGCCTTATGGGATGAGTTCTTTCTAAAATTTCTTCCCAAGAGACCATGATTAAGTTTCCTGAGTTGGCTGCTATCGTCTCCTTTTAAGAGTGCTTGTTTGTTTGTTTGTTTGTTTCTCTGCTACTCTTTCTGTCTTAATTTCCTTTACCATCCACCAGGTAGCAACTCAATTCTTTTTCCATTTTAGATCATATAACTCTTCAAACCTGATGGAAGACCTTAAACTCTTATACAGGACAGCAGGACAACATGGAAAAGGCATCAGCTTCATTTTTACAGACAATGAGCTCAAAGATGAGGCTTTCTTGGAATATCTGAATAATGTTTTATCATCTGGAGAGGTAGGATTTTCACCCTTGTTTTGTCTCCTTTTTTGTTGCTGTTCTTCCCCTTTCACCCTTCCTTTGAGAAGGCCTTATTCTTGATAAGGAGGTCCCAGAGACCATGAGAGATCAGTTAGGTCAGTGAGATATCAATGAGAGGATCAAAAGAACATCGAGCAAGATAAACGGGAAAGGTTATACTCAGGACAGGGAGTGCAGGCAGAATTAGGGTGGCCCCTAGGGGGTGCTATTGCTTCTGCAGGGCCTATGTTGCCACAGAGCACAACAGGTCAAAATGTCTTTAACCCTATGAATTCCTTTTTGAAATCTCTCAATTTATTTTGTGAATCATGTTTACTGTTAATAAACAGTACTAAAAATAATTGACACCCTGTGGCATCCCTGAAAGGGTCTCAAGGCACCCCATGGTTGAGAATCACTGAAATAGATTATCTCATGTTATTTGACTACATGGGGAGAACTTTAAAGTAGAGCTCTTACTCCTTTAAGATGAAAATGTATGAATTGCGTTTTAAATGAAGTGACAGGCTGGAAATGAGGGACACAATAGAACAGGAAAAGGAAGATTGAAACTATGTGAACTTGGTTTCTTATTGTGCGGGCTGGGAGCGACCCGAGCCCTTTTCTGTGCTGCACGTGGGCTGTGGCCAGCAGCCCGGGCACGCTGGGTCGGAGAGGGAAGGCCGTCGAGCTGGAATTAGGCACAAACGCTTAGTGGTAGTTTAAAAGATTGTTTACTTACACCGAGATGGCAGTGGTGTAGGCTGGAAAACTTGCTTGAGTTGCGGTTACAGACAGGAAAGAAGAGAGGCGGACAAGAGTTCTAAACTCGTGAACTCTAGCCCAATCCGGCTGAAGGCTCTGAACACGCGAGCCCGTCGTCTCAACCAAAGAAAATACTCGTCCGAAAGAGCTCTGAATAAACTCACACGAAGTTTGCTAGGCTCCGTGGGTCCTTCTACTCACTCATCCACACGAAGTTTGCTAGGCTTCGTGGGTCCGGTTCTTTTGCGCGCAGGGAGGGATACGTCTAGGAATCTATCGGCGACGGGGAGAGGCTAGAGGCTGATCAGACCTCTGTTGCCTGCTTGAAATGCGCTGGGTCCGTAAGGATCCGCAGTGCTTAGAGATCTTCACACAGGGTGAAGTCTCCTCCTCCCGGTGTTCGTGGAGTCCTCCAACTTGGGCGGAAACCACTCAAGCCTTTTATACGACTAGCAAGCCAATCACTAGCCGCCATGTGTGAGTAATTTAGAACTGGCCAATAATGGGACTCGAATTAGCATACAAATGGCGGGAACTCTTTGCAACGAGCATTTCTGTGCTGCAACAAAGAAATGCACCCTGCAAAGAAAGCTTCAAATTGGCGGGAAATTCTCCCTTGCACCGGGGTTCTCTTTTGCAGCAGAAAACTCCACCGTGCAAAGAAGCTATAATTTAGCGGGAACAATTTAGCAGTGCCGAAGCACACAAAAACAAAAATCACACCCTTTGGGTTGTGACACTTATGAATTGTTAAACTTGTTACTTGGGTTCAGATCTCATTGTTTTGAAGTGGAAAATAAGCATACATGAAAAAGAAGAAAATTTGTATCCAAAATAGGTGACATACCCTTCCAGATTCAGTATAAGCTATGTTCCAGAGAAATGTTTCATCTAGTTTGTTGCATATTATAAGTAGAGAAATTAACAAACCATAGTGTAGTTGATGAATATTTAATTGCAGTAGATGTGCATCTTTATTTGTAGACCTAGATCAGTTTAGTGCCAGCAAGACTTTGCTTGTTTTGATGGGCTTGGTGCTATGAAATCAGCTGCAGAGAATGGAAAGAGGAACCCTGTGTGTGTGTGTGTGTGTGTGTGTGTGTGTGTGCGTGCGCGCGCGCGCATGCGCTAGCATCAAAATTCTGTAAACTTTCTTGATGTTAAGTAAAAGAAATTTATGGTATTTGATTTCATTCACATTACACTACCCATCCCATATTTAAAACAAATGAAAAAATACCCCATCCCTCCAAAAAAAACCAACAAAAAAACAACCACCTCCCACTCAACCCAGGAAACTCACCTTGTGCTTTTCTTCTTAGGTCTCAAATTTATTTGCCCATGATGAAATTGATGAGATCACTAGTGACCTCATACCTGCCATGAAAAAAGAGCACCCACGGCGACTTCCAACCAATGAGAATTTGTATGACTATTTCATGACTAGGGTCCGCCAGAACCTTCATGCAGTACTCTGCTTTTCCCCAGTAGGAGAAAAATTCAGGAACCGAGCCCTGAGGTTTCCCGCTCTTATTTCTGGCTGTACCATAGACTGGTTTAGCCGATGGCCTAAGGATGCTTTGGTTGCAGGTGAGTGTGAGAGTTGCTCTTCTGCCTATCTGTCTGTGCTACATTTGGAAATTACCATATTTTCTTATGTCATACATTTCCTAAATAAGGTGTACACCTTGTTTTTGGAAGACGGAATAAATAAAAGAAATCTTTCCTTGTTCTTTTTCTACTGTTAAGTATTTTTACAGGGAAAATACAGGCAGCTGTAGTAGCAGAGTGGGAGGGGTGGGGAGCAAAACTTATGGTCGCTCTGTTAAGTTCCTAGTTGCAGGGTTTTGCAGGTGCTGCTGGCTGCTTACATGGCTTGGGAAGAGAGCCTGGGTAGCTTGGCTTCAGCAGAATTGAGTCTTCAGCTGAGCCAGCCCCTCTTTCTGACCTGGGTTGGCTGATGATAGTGCCAGTAAAGTAAGTTGAGGGCTCATACCACTCCAAAAAAAAAAAATATCTAGGCAGCTTGGCTTCTATGGGATCTGTCCATCTTCTCCCAGGC